CAACTTTCGCTTGGGTATTAGCCGCGTTTATCATTTTGATTGCCAAGAGTCTTTCTGTACGAGAATGGCCATGGCGCGACTTTTTGCGTGGACAGGTACCTTGTCGTAGTGTGTCCGAACTGCACACAGTCACCGGCATCGACGAGCAAAGTATCCTGAAGTACCTTTTAGCAAACGATGTGCTCACAATTCTTACCACACGAGGTCCTTTTAATATCTGTTTCACGCGCAGAAGCGAAGATGGATTTTCTATCGATGTCAAATCGGAACTTCGCACGCTTATGACGAGCGGCATCGTGGTTGTTCAAGTTGAGATGGCAACGGGCCGCGGTCTTGTGTGTCTCGACCTGCGGGGAGGCATAGAGGGTCGTACTAGTATCAATCACATCGACGGACCTCGAGAGGGCGAACGCTTAATAGGTTGTCCTGACCTCGATGACCTAGTTGATGGCTACAATTCCTTGAACGGCCTGAGTCGATTAATCTCCCTAAGGACATACGACTACACCCGTTATCACGATCGATGAATTGGACGAGAGTACTGGGAGTGTACATTTCAATGGATAAGAAGTTTGGATAACTCGACGAGAGAGAACTTTGGAACTTGACACGATCAATCTAGACAACATGAAGGTCGGAAATGCTAATATATAGCTTCAAGGTGTTCAAAAAGAAAGCTGAGACATTGGAGTATCAACTCAAGATTAGGCTAGAGGGACTGAGGAACAGCGACATGCGGCGCGTGACTGAAACTTAAATGTATCAAATGTGGAGAATTCTATCTTGAAGACATAGCCAGTAAAGCTTTCTCGCATTGAACACCGTGGCTGATGGCGACTGTTTAAAAAAGCGCCTGACTAGTCATCATTCATCTTTGCCAGAAAGAATACCTGCGGCTGATGTGCACTTTGACCATCTAGTCCTGTTGACACTCAGCAGGATCAATCGACTTGCATCGTCTGGGCTCCAGGGGCTCAGATGCAACTACCGGGGCTACCAGGGCAAGAATAGGCGCCTATGTGAGTATCCCAGAACGTCAGTGACCGACCTTTGCTTCATTACGTGTACATCTTCGAAGAACGTAGTTATGCGCTGGATGTCTGCTTACCATGACCAGACCCCGGCGTTCAGGGAAACCGACACGGAAGGCTTCAGCCCCGGTGAAGGCGGCGAAGGCAAGTGTCAGGATCGAGACGGGACGCATTTTGAGTGGTTTGATGTTGATATCGCAAAGGAGTAAGTCGTAAAGGAGAAAGTCGCAAAGGAGAAAGTCGCAAAGGAGAAAGTTATGAACTGGTACCAGACCGAAGAATAATGATGTTGTTCTTCTGCGTCTATCGTCGGAAGCAAGTATGTCTTATATACTCACATCAGGTTGTCTAAATACTGGAAACCAATAGAAAGGTCGTATTCGGACCTTTTGTTCATCGTAGACTTCAACTACATACGCCCTACTCCTGTTCACTCTAGCGTGAAGCAGCCGGAGACTTGGCGAACCTATGCGACTCTAGACGCCGACGTAGTGGGCCCCGAGAAACCATAAGCGCTCACTGTTTGAGCGTACCTGTCACAGCTGTGTGTCAGGTTCATGCCATCTGTACAACCGGCGACTTTACAACAAGCTTTAGCCGCAGTTCGGATGACGTTACCGGCGCCGCGGTTGGTATGCTTATCCATACTTGTCCTTTATTCAGCAGAACCCATTAGGCATTGTTTTCCCGAAGTTGTATGCTTGAAGAGCATTCGGCCTTCGAGCTGGGGCCGTGAAACGGTGGCCGGAGGTGCTTGAGTCAGGAGGCTTCGGTCTCGCTTCCGGAGAAGGCGGATTAGAGTCCGTAGGACAACCAACAAAAGTGAACTAGCGGGCGGTCTTCGTAGCCACAATTTCAATGCTTTCAGGTATCTGTTTGACATCGACTGAAAAAGCATGGCTCATCGCATGTGGCTTGGGAAGTCTTGTGGCGAGTGTCCACTGCGTCGGCCCGTGCCGCGCGGCGTTGCATCGGGAAAAGCGGGCCCAACGGCACCGGTCCGCTCCGGGTCCCAGGTAGCGTCGGGTGTCTAATTTGTGGACGTGACTTCAAAACCGCCGACGTTGACGTCTCTGACAGACTCAGGTTCTTCCAATTATTATGCGCAATTGAGTATACTGAGAACGAAAATGAGCTCCTTGGATATGATCACATGGTGAAAGGCAAAAGTAAATTGAGTAGGCACAACTGTGCTACTAGCTGCTTTTACCGAATCAAAGTTTCCAGTCGTAGGTCCTGAAAGGAACAGCTTGAAAGGATGAATATTGCTTCTTGGTGATTTGGTGCCGCCAACCTTCAGAAGGCGGGTAATCTTGTTAAACTCTGTCGACTCAGACGAGGCCCATCAGGGTTCTCTCTGGCCCCGCTATGTACCAAATCCATATATAATCCGCGGGTACTTAGCTTACTGCATGCTCATGTACTTCATTTTGTCCAGATTCTCCAAGTGAATCAGTCCATTTGCAGGCTGTCGCTTTGTCAGTACAACTTCACCATCATCGACGTTCAGTCAAGACTCACCGGGATGTATTGCCTCAACTTGACGCCCGCCTGCCTGAACACCGCCGCCGTCTGGTCATCCATGCTGTACCCGTGAGCATACACCACCTCCTCGATACCAACCTGGCAGATCTTTATGCTGCAGGTGAGACACGGGCAGGTATCGCAGTACAGAACCGAGCCCTTGCGGATGCGCTCCCGTCCGGCTTCAAGAAGGGCGTTCTCCTCGGCGTGGAGACACAGGCACGTCGCCAGCCCGACACCGGAGGAGTTGCCCGAGTTGCAGCGGGAGCAGCCGCCGTCGGAGCAGTTCTGCAGGCCGCGCGCCGTGCCGTTGTAGCCCGTTGAGATGACGCGCTTCTCGTTGCCGACGAGCACGGCGCCGACGCGGCGCTTCATGCAGTTGGAGCGCAGGGAGGCGAGCGTCGCGAGGGACATGAAGTAGGCGTCCCAAGTGGGGCGCAAGCGTACGGGGTCCGCGAGGTTGATCTTGCCGAGGGTGGCGTACAGGTGGGCGAGCGAGGAGGAGGTGTTCAGGAGGCGGACGGTGGCGCGGGAGATGAGGGGTTGGAGGCCGTCGTTGGGGTCGTATAGGTGGGTGTCTGAGGCGAGGGCGAAGGACTCGAGGGTGCAGTGGGGGTTGACTGCGGAGCGGAAGCGGGCGTGGCGGACGGTCAGGGGGGCGTCGACGGAGACGAGCATGAAGAAGGGGCGCTTGGCGAGCTGGTCGAGGATGGCTTCGTTGTGGACGTCGGTCATGACGAAGCGGGACTGCCAGCGGGTGGTGACGTATTCCAGGAGGGACTCGGCGGAGGAGAAGTTGAGCTCGTTATCGTTGGATGAGTTGTTGCTGTTGCTGTTGCTAGTGTTGATGTTGGTGCTGCTCGGGTTCATGGAGAAGGAAGGGGCGGCGGCGTTGAGAGAGTGCGTCTCAGAGTGGTCTCCTACGGGGATGCCATTGACAGTGTTGATGGTAAGGGCGTTATCCTGGTTAGGGTGAGGACAGTCTTGTTTCCAGTGGCCTCTTTGTCTGCAGTTATAGCAGATGGCATCCTTGTTGATATTGTTCTTCTTTTTCTTGTTGTTGTTGGATTGGTTGCGCCGCGCCTCCATGAACTCGTTGGTGTCAGCAATTGAGTGAGCAGGCTCAGGCTCACCCCACGGTTCAGGCTCGGGCGAGAAGCCAAAAATGGGTGCGCGGGAGTCGGTGTAGGCGTTGTCATTGCGAGGGGTTCCATTGCGGGGAGTGCTGTTACGTGGTGTATCTTCTCTCCTATGAGGTGGCTCATAGGGAGCTTCATATGATGCGGGCGTCTCATAGCGCGCCGGCGTCACGAACCGGTCATCGCGAGTCTTCTTTTCCTCGGGTTGAGGTTCTCCGCCAGGAGTGTCGAGGCGGAGTAGCTTGAAATCATGGTGCTCGACAAGGTATTGCGCCACCGTCTTCTTGCCGGAGCAAATCCCTGCGGAGAAGTCAGGAAATTTTGTTCATGGAATAGTTGAGGTTGCGCATCTCAAATGAGACCGGGGGTGAGTTGAAGGGCGAGTGTCGACTTACCACCGCAGATTCCAATGAGCATCTTGCCAACTGTCTGGTTCGGCACAGCACAGCAATATTAGGTTTTAAAAATGGAATCGACGGCAAGGTACAGTTGCAAACGGTTGAACATGAGTTGCGACTGTGGGCTTCGCAGGGCTGCTAATGCATGTGCAAGCTCTGCAACAACCCGGCAACAAGTGTCCAATGGAAAGGCGGTCCACGTCGCGAAGCCAATTCCCGCCAACGCGGTTCTCCCCTTGAGTCGCGTAAAGCGCTTTCCCACTTGGGTCGGCATAGATTACCCCGCGCCTCCTTCCGTTTCCGAGATTTAGCCGGCGGGACACAGGACGCAAGGGCCACTTTCCTAGGTCCAGCTGCGGGCATGACACAATAATGCGCACCCCGTGGCTCTGAGCTCCCCCACCTTTGTCCAGCTGGGCAGGTCCGTCGTCGCAGCCTGGGCGTTGGAGGGGAAGCTACCCTTACCCTCCCTACCTAACCCTACATCCTGCCTGTCGGACATCATCTTGCTCTACCTTACTCTTCCAGGTCCTCAACTTCTGCTGCTCCCGTGATCCGAAAAAGAAGGCGTGCTCTGTTTCTAGTGCAGATGACTGATTTTCCGTATTCCAGCTAAGCGAGCATACCTTTTTGTCCGGTCGGTTTCGACAGAGATTCGCCAGAGCGACCTGCCTGTTCCGTCGCATCGCACCTTCCTCCACCATTTGAGTCATTCCGTGCCACAACGGTTGCTGCTTCCGTTTGTCACTACCTCCATCCTTCTTCGTCCTTCGTCGTCCGTCGTCGTCCTCTTCTCCCTCGTCCAACATCCCCAGAGTATTCCGATCGTCCACTGCGCATTCGAACCCGCGTCTTCCGATCGGAACCCCGCCAGGCGCATCGCGCATAACCTTTCGAAAAGCCCCAAGATGGCTGCAATCCAATACGCCCCCTTCTCTTCCGAGATCGAGCTCCCCTTCTACGCCGCCCTATTCTCCTCCAAGCTCGAGCATGACAAACTGGACGACTCGGCGCGTAGGGTTCTGGGCCAGTACACCCCACTGCCCGTTGACCCGGCCCAAAGCTGCAGGATGTCAATCCTTGGCAACGCCCTCACAGCCGACCAGTAAGCAAGACTAGCTTTTGGGCTCGCGCTGCCCTCATGTTGACCCTCATAGGACTGATGAGGAGAGCAGGCCCAACGATGAGCACGTCCGCGGCGAGGGTTGGATCAAGAACGTCAACACTATCGAGGACTTTAAGAACACAGACAAGCAAGCGATGCTGAAGCTTGCCGCTCGCCATGTGAGTCCATGATTGACTGGCTTGCAAGCTGCGTACTAACTGGTGCTAGATCTGGGACGCCATAAACGATGGCACGATTTATTCTGTCCCCTCGCTTCTGTCCTCGTTTGCGATCCTCTCCTACGCAGACCTCAAGAAGTACCGATTTACATACTGGTTCGCATTCCCCGCCCTCCACTCAGACCCTCAGTGGAAGCGGACAGGTCCGATCGGCCGCCTCGATCCCAAGGAGAGCACGGCGCTCGTCGATCGCGTAGGCACCTGGGCAGCGAACCGCGACAAGAGGCAGAACGGCTTCTTCCTTGCTAAGAAGGCCCGTGGTACAGATGTCAGCGACCTAGACAAGGACGCTAACAGCGACTTGCACGACCTGAATGATACCTTTGGCTATGTCTGGGAGGTGGCAAATCTTGGCGACTTTGAGAACGGCTTCTTCGACGACGTCGCCGAGGAGGATCGTTACGTTGCGTTTGTAGACCCGTCGACGTATCCCGAGAACCCGTCATGGCCTCTTCGCAACTTGCTTTGGCTTGTCCGTCAACGCTTCAAGCTGACCAAGGTGCAAATCCTGTGCTATCGCGACATCAGGGCTAGCAGACACGCTGCCAGAAGCATCATTCTGCCCCTGGAGATGGATCCCGTCGAACCGCTCGCGGTAGCCGAAATGCCAAAGGTCACGGGCTGGGAGAGAGACGCGGAAGGAAAGCTTCGCGCCAGAGTCGCAAACCTCGGCGAGTACATGGATCCGACGAGGCTGGCAGATCAATCTGTGAATCTGAACCTCAAGCTCATGAAGTGGCGAATTTCACCCAACCTGGACCTGGATGCAATCAAGAACACCAAGTGTCTGCTTCTGGGCGCTGGCACATTGGGAAGTTACGTATCGAGGAATTTGATGGGATGGGGCGTGCGAAAAATCACATTCGTCGACTATGGCCGTGTCTCATACTCAAACCCCGTACGCCAACCTCTCTTCAACTTCGAGGACTGCTTAGAAGGCGGAAAGCCTAAGGCCGTTCGCGCAGCGGAGGCGCTCAAGGAAATTTATCCCGGCGTTGAAAGCGAGGGCCACGTTTTATCTGTACCGATGGTTGGCCACCCCTTCACTGACGAGGCGAAGACCAGGGGCGACTTCGACAAGCTGAAGAAGCTCATCGACGATCACGATGCTATATTTCTCCTGATGGACAGCCGTGAGTCGAGATGGCTTCCAAGCGTCCTAGGCAAAGCTGGAGGCAAGATCGTATTGAATGCCGCGCTTGGGTTCGATTCCTACGTGGTCATGAGGCACGGAGCTGAGCCGGAGAATGTCCAGGCGGATGATAAGGAGCGTGCGACGTTGGGCTGCTACTTCTGCAATGATGTAGTTGCACCCGCTGATGTGAGTATTGGGGGTTGAAAAGACAAGTTGCGACTCCTGCTAACCCCTCATAGTCACAGAAGGACCAGACACTCGACCAGCAGTGCACAGTTACACGGCCAGGTGTTGCCCCTATGGCGTCAGCAGCAGTCGTGGAGCTCTTCGCGAGTCTTCTTCAACATCCTCTCAAGCATCATGCCAAGGCGCCTCATACGCATGATGCTGAGAATGACCCTGTTGATCATGCCCTCGGCTTGGTCCCTCACACAGTCCGTGGCTACGTGCACAACTTCAGCACTAAAGTGATCCGCGGCCAGTCATACCCCTGCTGCAGTGCTTGTAGCCCTCCGATTCTGGACGCCTACAGACAGGACGGCTGGGGCTTTGTCAAGAGAGCGCTGCAGGAGAAGGACTATGTCGCGGAGCTCTCAGGTCTCGCTGAAGTACAGCGGGAGGCCGAGAGACGGGCAGCTGCGATGGACGACTGGGAAGATGAAGAGGAGGGTGCTGACGAGGGAGACGGAGAGCTGCTTTAAGCTCAGGATTAGAGTCAAAGTACACTTAGATGGGGAGATGGCGTTTCCATGGCCTGGCACTGTTTCGATGGGTTTACTCAGGGGCGTTGCGGAATATGGCGGCTTTCGTAATGAACTAGCATCATGATGGCTTCAAAGAGAAGGTTTTCGTAGAATTGCAATTCTCATTCCAACCCACTAGAACCACTGGGAGGACGTTTGGGGTGCAGATGACAAGGATCCTACCCCAGGCTGCACGCGCAGCTGCCCTCGGCCCGTGACCGCTGCAGGCCCTGGGGATGTTTCACAAGCTGCCCCGGACGTTCCGTAGCGCCACTAACTGATCGTCTCGATCACTGGGTGACGATATGTTAGTCGAAGGTTACAGCACGCCTGCAACGCTATTTTCGTCCTCCATGTCCCCTGAGGTGGCGCGATGCATTTTCCGCTGCGCGCTGCGGGATGACCTGGCACCCCCCTAGATTACCTAAGGAGCGCTAATGCGCGGCGTGGTCGTTTCTTTTAGTCAGGTGTCCTCGAACTACGAGGGAGTGAGCATGGGGGTTAGGTGCACTACACATCACGTCTCTTTCATCTCACCGTTCCTCTTGTTTTCACATTTCATCGGATTCTTTCATCTTTTCGTGTTTCTCGAGGTCTCTTTTACACGTGTCCTTAGATGGGAAAGATGTAGATGGCAACTGGGACTTTTGAAGGATCAGGTACTTGTTATTTGCTGAGTAAGAGCTGGGAGTGAGACGCCGACGCGACGACACGAAAGCTGAGGACGGCATCATCGGGTTGCTATTTGCACGAGGATTTCGAGGCTATATCTACAACAGTCACGTGGGCGACGCATACTACGTTAATCTTACCTTTCGCCGACACACCGAGAAGCTGCTGGTGCAGCATCAGAGGAGTCAAGAAGCATGGCGCTCCTGCGCACCTTTGTCCGCCGTTTGCTCTCCGACCAGCCCGAGTCCGTACACGACTACCTCGGCGTCGTTGTTCCGCTTGAGGAGGCGCATCTGCACAGCCACTCGGCGCGTATAGGCCGCTGCGAGTTTGAGGAGCGCCCGGGGCATGAGGAGGATGACGGCGACGATGAGGATGGCAAGGACCAGGGGGAGAGCACGGGGATGCTGGAGATGAGCGCGGCGGAGTATACGATTGAAGGGCTGAGGAAGGAGGTTCGGAGGGGCGGGAGGGGGATGTGGACGGAGTATGAATGTGAGTTATCTGCGTGATGGATGAAGCTTGATGAGATGGTTAATGGGAGGGGGGCAGTGAAATCTAAGCTTGTCAACAAGGCGATTCAGGATATCGGGATGGGGAGGTATAACTGGCAACTCTTCATCCTATGCGGCTTTGGATGGTTTGCGGATAAGTAAGTACACCTCAACCATCGAACTCATCATGAACTTCACTAACCATGTTGCCAGCTTATGGATGCACGTGAGTCTTCACCACCCTCCCCCTCATCCATCCCCTCAACTGACAACCTCCAGGGCGTCTCCCTAACCCTCCCCTCCCTCTCCGCCGAGTTCGCCATCTCCGAAAAGACGGTCCGCTACACCACCTCCTCCATCTTCCTCGGCCTGTGCTTCGGCTCCTTCGTCTGGGGCATCGGCTCCGACGTCCTCGGCCGCCGCATCGCCTTCAACATGACGCTCCTCATCACCGGCGTCTTCGGCATCCTGCTCGCCTTCGCACCCTCCTGGGGCTGGGTCTGCTTCCTCTTCGCCTCCCTCGGCTTCGGCGTCGGCGGCAATCTTCCGGTGGACGGCGCGCTCTTCCTCGAGTTCCTCCCCGACGCGTCCAGCTCGCTGCTCACCCTGCTGTCCGTGTGGTGGCCCGTCGGCCAGCTGAGCTCGTCGCTGGCGGCGTGGTATTTTATTGTGAACTGGCCGGCCGACCAGGGCTGGCGGCGCTTCGTGCTGACGATCGGGCTGGTCACCTTCATCATGTTCGTGGTGCGCTTCTTCGCGTTCCGGCTGTTCGAGTCGCCCAAGTTTTTGCTCTCCAAGGGCCGCCAGGCGGAGGCCGTGGCCGTGGTGCACGGCATCGCGTACCGCAACGGCGCGAAGACGTGGCTCACGGAAGAAATCCTCGACGCAGTGGTGGAAGGCGTCGCCACCGCCGACGACGACGGGACAACCGCTTCCGGACGCGGGCGTACCGCCGGCGTGCTCAAGGACAAGATGAAGTCCTTCTCCGCAGACCGCCTGCGCCCGCTCTTCAAAACCCGCACGCTCGGCCTCGCGACCGCGATCGTGTGGTTCGTCTGGGCGACCATCGGCATGGGATACCCGCTCTTCAACGCCTTCCTCCCGCAGTACCTCTCCCACGGCGGCGCGGCGCCGCCCGAGGGCAGCCCCGACGCGGGCGCGACGCCCATCACGCCCGCGACGTACCGCACCTACGCCATCACGTCCGCGGTCGGCGTGCCGGGCAGCCTGCTGGCGGCGTACCTCGTCGACCACAAATCGCCCTGGCTCGGGCGGCGGGGCACGCTCGCGTGCTCGACGTTCGTGTCGGCGGTGTTCCTCTTCATGTTCGTCAAGTTCGGCACGTCGCCCGCGAGCCAGCTGTTCTTTAGTTGCGTGGAGAGCTTCTCGCAGAATATCATGTACGGCGTGCTGTACGCGTTCACGCCTGAGATCTTTCCCGCGCCGGTGCGCGGGGCGGGGACGGGCGTGGCGAGCTTTTTGAATAGGGCGATGGGGCTGATGGCGCCGGTGCTGGCGGCGAATATGCCGGGGGACGGGACGACGACGCCGATTTATTTGAGCGGTGCGCTGATTTTGGCGGCGTTTGTGGGGATGTGTGCGATTCCGATTGAGACGAGGGGGAGGCAGAGGTTATAATGAAGGAGCGAGTTGCTTGCGTGAAGGGTTTGTGTGGGATACAGGAGTTTAGAGTAGACGTCTCTGGAGACGTTGGGTATAGATTTGTAAAATGGATTGATGTGTTTGGCCAAAGTTGTGTCCTGGGTATGCAAGAATGGCCGTGAAGATGCCCTCGCACAGCTCATATCTAGCTGATCACGGATGGTGACGCATCCCCCCGAGGCCCTGGTCTCACATTCAGTCCTCTTGTTTCTTATCCCTTTTCCTTTTAGGTTCTCACCTCGGTTACGCAAAACCCGCATCACATCAACACCTTCGCAAAAGCATCCCCCAACCCCCTCTCCACAAGCCACCCCTCCACAGCCTTCATATCTCCCCGATTCGCCCTCTGCCCCCTCCTCTCCCCCACCGAGTCCGTAATCTCCGTCATGTCCGCAAACACCCTCTCCACGCCCTCACCAACTTCTCTATGCCGCTCGCTGACCTTCTTGTGGTGCGCGGGTATATCCCCCCACGACTCGGTCTTGATGAAACGCATGTAATCATCCACATTCTGCGAGGGTCCCTCGAGACACAGCAGGCCCGGTTTCCCCGCGTAGAGGAAGCCCGTGAGGCGGTACCGCGGGGCGTGGATGATGAAGTCGTCGCGCTTGGAGCGGGTGGAGATGGAGGGGAAGTAGAACCACACGCGCACTAAGGGTCCTCCTCCCGAAGCAAGGGGATCTGAAGGGGTTGCGGCGGCTGCTGCTTCTTCGGCGGCTTGTGAGAGGTGTGCGGAGGTGGAGGCGGCGATGGCCTCGATTGTGCCGAAGAGGTCTTCGTCATCGGGGATGAGGGTGTTGAGGGTTGTGGTGGCGGCGCGGGAGAGCCAGGGGGGTTGTTGGATGCGGACTTTGATGTGTGGAGGGTCCTCTGGGGTGGCGGGCCCTGTGTGTGAGAAGGGGACTGTGATGTCGAGGGGGAGTGTCTTGTCCTCGGAGTCGGGGATGGATAGGTTGAGGAGTAATGTTACGGTGGGGGCCGTCTTTCTTAGGGAGGATGAGTTTGATGAGCCGGTTTCGAGATCGGACTTGAGGGCGTCTAGGAGGGTTGATGAGTCCTTGTCGAGGGTCACTTCATCTTCGGTTGGGTACATGGCCATTAAGAGGTCGATCTGGCCGATTTGATGTTCGATGAGGTCGGGAGGCAGAAGGTGCCATGATGATGCTGCTGCCATTTTGAGTTGGCATGTCAGAATAACTCTAAAGTGAAGGAACTGAGAGATAGAGGAGGTGAGTATCTCAGTCCGATCCCGGTCACTTCGTGATACCTAGTTGGCGGGGGAGGGGCATTGTGGGTGAAGGGTTTTTGGATGCGCGCCACAGTCTTCAGCCACATACGCCACATCTCGAAGCTGAGAGATCTCGACAATAAGCTGAGCTTATTTTTAGATCTGCCACCTGAAACTGGCCACGGCTGCTTTTCGCAGCAGTGGTTGATAGGCTGGCAATTGAAAGACAGAAAAAGACGTGGTATTTGTAAGGGTGTCTAAGAACCATGGTATACATGTATAAAGAAGGCAAAGTCTAATACCTCATTTCACGTTCGGTTGCCCTTCGCGCCAGCAGGCGCATCAACTCTCCTCTTGCGGAATGAGTTGCCCATCGCATCTCTAACCATCGGATCCGCCCGAATCGTGTTCTGCACGAGCCAATCCTTGACCTTGGCGCGCACACTGCCCAGAGCCTCCTTGTCGCCTATGAACGGCGTCATCTCCATGTCCAGCAACCGGTTCGCCTCGCCGTCCAGCCCGCGAACCAAGTTCTCAAGCCTCTGCAAGCCCTCGTCGACAGCAGCCGCCGATCCCTCGGCAGCCCGCTGCGCCGCCTGGCCCTGCGGGTTCAGCAGCGGCCCGATCTGGCTAAAGGCAATATACATCGTAACCGCCGCCTGGCGCGCGAGCGACACGAGCTGGAACTGCAGGTACGGCGGGCGGCGCAGGATGGTGCTCAGCGCGGTGTTGGCCATGGCGAGGTAGGGCGGCATCTCGGGGCGGGTGACGACGATGAGCTCGGCGACGAAGAAGGTCAGGAGGACGACCCAGCGCCAGTAGCGGCCCCAGTCGAGGTAGCCTAGCAGGCCGAGGCCGTAGGTGGCGGCGGCGGCGATGCCGTAGTGGGGGATGGTGCCGGAGAAGACGCCGGTGGAGACGAAGTCGTAGACGGTCTTGCAGTTCTGCCAGTTGCCGACGACGGGGCCGAAGCGCTCGTAGGCGAAGCGGCGGTTGGGGTCGGAGAGGGTCTCGGAGGCGGTCTTGAGGTGCATGAAGCGGGCGGCGGCGGCGGACGAGTCGCCGGTCTGCTTGTCGGGGTGGTAGACGGCTGCGAGGCGGCGGAAGCGGGACTTGATGATGCGGACGGGCGCGGAGGCGGCGACGTCGAGGTCGGTGTAGAACGTGCCCTGGCGGCGGAGGGTGTGGTCGGCTTCGATCAGGGTGTAGAGGAGGTAGGCGGAGACGACGAGGATGTAGATTCGGCGGCGGTGGATGGCGTATTTCGCGGAGCCGGGTTGGGGTTTCGGGTCGCCGGCGCGGATCGCGAGGCCATAGTAGATTGATTGGACCCAGGAGGTTGCTAGCTTTGGGGAGGTTAGTGATGTAATTCTCAAGACGAGGGTGCAGAGGGGATGGGTCGCGTACGTTGGGCAAGAAGGCCCAGCCTATGAGGGAGAGCGCATTCGACATTGTGATTAAATGGTCATTCCCGAAATGACGGACGTCGCGCGACTGCGGCCAAAGTGCAGAGGAATTTGGCTGTCCGAAGGCGGGCGGGGAGTGAGGACGTGAAGCTGGCAAGGTGATAACTTGGCGATGCGGCTTGTTGACTTGCTGGCGTTTTGACGCAACCGGTACCCACATCGAAAGCTGACCTCATCCCGTCTCTTGCAGGCAGGCACAGCAGGCTGGGGCATTGATCCCTGTCGTCCCATGGTCAGACAAATTGGATGTGATTGGAGGAGAGCAATCAAGCTCCATCTAAGTGGGGCGCTGTCCGTTCAGTGTCCCCCATTTTCGTCCCTTCAGAGTTCCCGGACGAACACCGTCACCTTCGTTCTGACTTGTCACATTTTGAGAGTGAATGTTGTGCGAACGACATTAAGTTTCTTCTGTGCTTTTGATCCCTTTGCCTTTACATTTGAGGACATGTCCCAAAGTTGCCTTTGAGCTTTTGCCAGGCGACGAAATCCCTGATAACTCAGTGGACAAGCCCCCAGACTCAGGGGCTGCCGACAAAAGTTGTGTTGCCAGTGGCAATGACTTCTATCAGCCAGATTCAAGCGACTCGTTGGGCGATTCCAGGTAGTTTTGAAGTAGCTTATGCTTTCAAAGTCCCACAGGTGGAAGCAGGGCAGTGGCTGTGGTGGTGGTACTCATAACTCTGACGTTTCCCCAATAGTACTTTGTAGAGGACAGGCAGCGCATGGCCCAATCAGCACTTCGGGATTCAATGACTACTCCGTGCCAGACCGCGACAGGAGTTTTGGACTCGGTCTGGGTGTAACTTGTCACTTGCATTCTTCTCGCGAGTCTCAAGGTTATTTGGTGGGCTTTGCCAGGTGAAGCGAGCCGAGACATCACCAATCTTCTAGCTGTTGGGTACTCTGGCACCTCGTCTCGACATCTCCACTATGTAAGGACATCTCTAGCATGCGGCTTCCAGACCGCATGAAATCTGTTCCTCGCATCTGCCACCGTTTGATATCGCACGTTCCATGGTCACCGCCAATCCCCCCGCATAACTCCAGGCTGGTACCTCTACAGACGCAAGGCCTGGCCAGGACAGATGTCGCCAAACGTAGAAGTGAAGGGGCAGCCGATTTGGTATCCAAAGCGGCCACTTCTCCATCGCAAACGACTCTGCGGGGAGCTGGTGGCCTGCATATACCGCCAGCTGAGGGGGGGCAGCGATCGTTTTGGATTCGTTGGCAGTTGGACGGGCAGATGTTGACATGCATATGCCATCAGTGAGTCCGCTTCCCGGTGTCTTTTGACACTCAGTCCAATCAAGAGAGAAAATCGACTCCATCGACACTTTCCTCAAAGCCAATGGCAGAGCTGAAGTCGTTCCGGTTGGCTGGATGCTAGTCCTCTCCCGTCGTTGGCTGCAACTTGAGGAGCATCAACCCGAAAGAGCTTTGCATCTAGCGTCCGCTCTTCCCGTCACTTTTCCTTGATTATTCCATCGACGACCTATCAAAAGCCTGTAAACATCTGCGGAGCTGTTCTTTGCTGGCTGCAGTTTTCAAAGTCCCGGTCGGCCACGACGCAGGAGCCACTGTCCGCACCTGGTTTTGCGGCTTGGCAGGAACAAACGGCGGACAACGGTAGCGGACGACGACAACGACGACGACGAATGGCAACAACGACCGGCGATGGCGACCATGGAAGCAAGAGGCGACAACAGCTCCTTCCAACTTCTGATTTCCAACTGAAAGCCCACTTTGCTGCCTTGCTTAACGCTACCTTCCTTGCCTTTGACGCAGCTCCGAGCTTCTCTCCAGACATCATCTTCAACGGCCATGCACTGAATACTCAACGCTTCCTTTCACAACATACCAAGGTCGATGAAGGACGGCAACGACACCAAGGATGGCGGCGTCGATCAGGCGATCTTTCATGGCACCATGCATGCGCGATGCCATCCACTGGCTCCGTCTTTCTGGTTCGCGAAGCAGCTTCCCGCTGAAGACCCAGTCGAGCAGTTTACCTCTTCGTCCAGGGCAGACATACAAGCGACGAAGGAGGGTAAAAGTCAGGAACGCCCTCGCCGTCGTCGTTCCTTCTCTTCTCTCATCATCGTCACTCCTGAGCATCGTCCGTCGTCGTCATTCGTGTCCACTGTCGTCCAGGATCCTTTGTGTCTCTCAACATGAAGCGTGAGAACCTCATCAGTATGGCTCTTGCAGCTATCACCCTGGTGGAACCTGTTGTTCAGTCCGGACCAAAGAAGCCGGGCAGGCCGGGTCGCGGTCGGTATGCCCTCGATGCTCTGTCCCCCGACTTCGCATGGGGAGAGTGTCGCCCCGAGTATGTACTTACATGACATTGTGGCAGGCTGTCTACATGTACTGATCTCAACTTTTTGCAGTGACTGGCAGTGTAGCCCATCTGGCGAACACCTTGCTTACGTTGGCGAGGTCGACGATGACTTTGCCAACTCCAACGATCCCGTCGATGAGGATTCCACCAAACCCCCAATCCTCGCCACCTCCCCTGCCCCTTCCAACTCCAACAGTACTCGTATTACGAAGAGTTCTGTCGGAGGGTCTGGTCAGGACGACATCAACGCCATCTTGGTCAAAATCCTCGACCGCATCGTCAAGGCCCAGGAGGACCCTAGCGAAAGGGACATCGACCCCATCTGGACCGCTCTTCTAGAGCGTCTCGTCAAAGCCCATGAGGATGCCGCGAAGCCGTCCAACCCCTGGACCGCACCGACAAAGTTGACCGCCGCAGCATCAATCATCACCCTCGTCATCGGAGTTCTGAACTTCTTTAAGGACAGAATCATCTCGCTGGACTGGCGAATCTGCGGCTGGCGCTTTGCTTCTCTCGTCTTATGCATCACCGGCTGGGAGGCGGCCACTCAGCTTAAGGACAGGCTGAGTGTCGTCGAAAAGGCTATTTACGGCAGAGCGAACGTCGAGCCTTTCATATCGGCAACAGCGTTGGACAACCCCATGCAATGCCTGAAGACTCGAGTCGCTAACCTCAATACTGACCTCGGAAAGACAACAAAGGATACTACTGATCTTGGCACTAACCTTGGTAATGACATCACTCGGCTGGACAAGCTGGTGGCCGATAAGGCCACTGAACTCGAGAAGCTCGTGACTGACAAAACCACCGAACTGGAGAAGCTCATGGCTGACAAGGCCATCGAACTGAAGAAGCTACGCCGACCTGGAGAAGCGAGTTGACCACAACATGGTCGAATCTCTTCGGCTCTTCGACGACTTGTGGCGGAGGCGTTGTTGTCCCTGGACATGACAAGGCAGATTCTCGGCTTTGTTGAGAGGAAGCATCTTCGGCCTGAGCCTCTGCGACTACAATCTGGCGAGTTGGCGAAATCTGCTCTTTGATGATGATGCAAAGGATGATGACAGGAACGCACCACGCGGCCAAATGTTCAGAGGCAGTCGTCATGGCGCGGGTATATGGATATGCAAGAGTCATGACTCCCAAACTCCACCAAAAGTCATAAGCCGTCGGCCCGGAAGGAGGAAACAGCGCTACGACTTATGCCAATTATGCCACAGAGTAGGGACTGTCGCAGTAACGACGCAACTTTACCAGCCGATCTGCCGCGGGCGGGAAGTGGGGTTACGACTGCCGGCCTCTCTCCCGACCACCTCGTAAATTCCGTCCTTCTCCTTACCTTAAATCCCCGTAAATCTCGCCTGGACCCAAAGCTTCGCTTTCGCAAGCCTGCTGTCGATCATTTTTTGACCAATGGTGTTGCCCTGCATATGTCGTGTCATGCCAGCGTAACGGGGGCCGGTGTCCGCCCAAGAGCCCGAGGACCCAGTTCTCGTCCGAACGGGCCATTACCTAAGCCCGACGAACTGCTCGTGCTGTTCGAAATAGGAAAGTGCACTCCTTGGCGCTTGTGGAATCGAGTCGCTGTAGATGGAGATGTTGAAGTTGTCGATAGCGGATGGCTGAAACGCTGTGTCACGATGTATGTTATGAAGGTCAAGCATTCGGGGTCGTCAGTATTTGCGATAAGCGTATTCGTATTCGTCTCCATCTTCAAGGACTTCCCATGAGCAATGCATCGAGCAAAATGGTTATAAGTCCAGAGAAAACGTCAACCTGATCGTCTCATCAGTCACTTACAGCATCATCCGAACCAGCAATCTCATAATCATCAACCCTGCAGCGTTCGAGATGGCATCGAAACCTTCAGCTTCCGCATTAGCTGATGGCAGCTTGCCAGTATCCCTGGATAGCTTCAGACTATCCTCCGAGGCTTGGAGTATACTCGCCGCGTTGTTGGCAGCGGTCCTAGCATACAAGATCTGGACCGATCACAAGTTCAAGTTACCACCTCTCATCAACCCACCGAAATCGTTTGACCTCAGCGGAGCAGCTGTCAAGAAGGACTTTGTTCAAAGAAGCAATGAGCTCATTCAAGAAGGGTTGAAGGCGTTTGGGGGAGAGCCTTACAGCGTGATGTCCGACACCGGCCGCGTGATTATGCTGGCTCCGAAGCATGTCGACGAGATTCGAAACGACCCGAAGCTGAGCTTTCTGAAGAACACAGAGCATGTAGGTACACATGTTTGAGATATCAAGCTGGTACTGACGTCGATGGTGTAGGATTTCCACGCTTACCTCCCTGGTTTCGAACCGTTCGGAGCGGGCAATGCGATCCAGATTCTCATCATGGTCGCCAAGAAGCAGCTCACCAAGTTTCTGGGTAAGCTTCCCATTCAAATCATTATATCATTTGCCTTGTATCGTGGTCTAATCCATCTGGCGTGATAGCGAAGATCACAAAGCCACTCTCTGACGAGACCGCGTTTTCCTTTCAAACAGTCCTTGGCGACTCGACAGGTATGTGCTAACCACCGTCAACATCCCACTCCTTTCTGACATCGGCGGGTACACAGAATGGCACGAGGTCGGCTTGGGTCATACCATTCTCAACGTAGTCTCCCGCCTCTCGTCCCGCGTCTTCCTCGGTCCCGAAATCTGCCGCAACGAGGCTTGGCTCAACATCACCGTCATGTACGTCGTGGACTCTTTCATCGCGGCCGAAAGACTTCGCATCGTTCCAAAGCCTCTCCGACGCATCGTCCACTGGTTCCTTCCAGAGTGCCAGCGCGTCAGAAGTCACGTCGCCCAGACCCGCACTATCATCCAGCCAGTAATCGATGCCCGAGCACGCGAGAAGCGCATCGCGGCCGAAGAGGGACGTCCGATTCCAACATACGACGATGCGATTCAGTGGGGCGAGGAGGAGTCCGCGAGGTCGAAGTACGACCCGGCGATCTACCAGGTAGGTGTTCATCTTGTCAAGACTACTTAGCCATCTGAGGGAGCCAGAGCCTGTACTAATTGGACCAAATCTTAAGCTGGCGATGGCCGGTGCAGCGATACATACCACGACCGATCTCATGACGCAGCTGATTTTGAACATCCTTCCGAGACCTGAGTTGTTGGCTGCGCTGCGGTCTGAGATGATTGAGGTTCTCGGGAAGGAGGGTTGGGCGAAGACGTCGCTTTACAACCTCAAGCTCATGGACAGCGTGATGAAGGAGACCCAGCGAATGAAGCCAATCCAGTCAAGTGAGTCGAAAAGTCTCACGAAGCCTGTATACTTACAAGCTGACTATTACATTCCAGTTTCCATGGGCCGCATCGCCGACGCCGACGTCTACCTATCCGACGGAACTGTTATCCCCAAAGGCATGAAGGTCGCTGTTGCCAATACCTCGAGACACGACCCCACTATCTACGAGAGTCCTCTCGAGTTTGATGGCTACCGCTTTCTCCGTATGCGACAAACAGCTGGAAAGGAAAACCAGGCGCACTTCGTTACAACGAGTCCAGACTCTCTTGGCTTTGGCCACGGACAGCATGCCTGCCCGGGACGTTTCTTTGCCGCGAACGAGGTCAAGATTGCCATGTGCCACTTGCTTCTGAAGTATGATCTTGAGCTGGTGCCCGGGTCCGATTCCTCGGTGCAGGTGCACGGCTTCAGTCTGAACTCGAATAGAGGGGCGAAGATTAGAGTGAGACGGAGGAAGGAGGAGATCAACCTGGAGAGCCTGTGATCAAATCATTTTTCAGCTGAAATTTAGACTTTTAAAGAACAATACTGAGGATAGATGTTAACCCGTTGCTGCTTGGACCCTGGTGGAGGAGAATTAGGCCGTCGGCTCCCGGAGCATCTTCCAGCACGGTCCCCACCAACTTCTTCAATGATTAGTGAACACCTCTGAGAACAAACCCTCAGCTTCAGCCTCTGCAACTCCTGATAGATCCCTTGTTTCGGCCGCTTCGGCGGAGATGCAAAGTCAGATGCGTCTGTCTTCGTAATCTGGGTTGCTGGGCACTGGCGCGGCTCAATCATCGGGGACCTCCTTCGGTCGGTCGAAAGCTAAAGGGCAACCCTTGTGTTTCTGAAGCTTTCAGAGAAAATCGTGCGATATAAATGCACGTTCTCCAATGATGCAGTTCTTGCTGTTGCTCGTAATTTCACAATCAGGACCCCATTCGTTTCTTGCGAGTCGCTCTACATACTCGCCACCTTGATGATGTCTATTCTCCTTCCCTTGACGGCGGCTCTAGCAGCTGTCGTATACGGACCCACTCAGTTCACCGACAAAATTGTCGAAAGTCGGTTCGGTGACCTCATCCACGGACGTGATGGGGCCAAGGTGTTATTGGGCCTGGCTGTAGGCCTCGGTGTTGTCAAAACTATCAACAACCTCTCTAATAAAGTAGCGTTGAACAACTGGCGCGTGAGAGCACACAAAGGCTGGGTATGGAACAAGGAAGTCGCCGTTGTGACAGGCGGTTGCGGTGGTATCGGTAGAGAACTTGTCCTTGGCCTCGTCAAAAAGGGGGTGAAAGTCGCGATCCTCGAACTCGCGCCTATTCCCCCAGACATGGAGAGCGACCCCGCAATCTTGTACATCAAAACAGACATCACCTCTGCCGAGGCCGTTACCCAAGCAGCCAAGACTATCCGAACATCTTTCGGGGCCCCCTCGATCTTGATCAACAACGCCGGCATCGCATCCCCGCACACCATCCTCGACACCCCGGCCGACTTCCTCCCCAAGCTCTTCGGCGTCAACGCCATCGCCCTCTGGATCGTCACCAAAGAGTTCCTTCCCAGCATGATCAAGAAGAACAAGGGGCACATCGTCAATATCTCGAGTATCACAGCGCACATAACCCTCTCCTCGCTGGTCGACTACTGCGCCTCAAAGGCTGCGTCCGTGACCTTCCACGAGGGCCTCAACTGCGAGCTCAAGACAAAGTACAAAGCCGACGGCATCCTCACAACCATCGTCCAGCCCAGCTGGGTGAGGACGAACATGTCTCCCAAGAACGCAGATGAGATTGAGGAGAAGCAGGGTAAGATGTTGTCGCCCAAGGAAGTTGCGGATCGCACTCTGGCGCAGGTGTTTGCTTGTCGGGGTGCTCAGATTGTCTTGCCGGAGAAGGTTTGGTTCTTTACTACATTGCGGGCGTGGCCTAACTGGATGCAAGAGTGGATGAGAGACAGAATGGGCAAAGCTAGTCTGCTGTAGACTGCTGAGGTTGGCACAGACGCTTTGGGTTGATCTCCGTTGTCGGTTGCTTCATTCATCCAAGGTTTTGCCAGGGGCGAAAAGAAGGAGGTTTTCTATGAGACACATCTTATCCTTTGCTTCCGTATTGAGTTCTAATAAGATACTGCCGGCTTTCAATATGTTTTTCATCCTTTCTTGTGACCACCGGCCACGAACACCGGACAATGAATCAGGCATAGCTAGCAACAGGTTGTCCCAGAACCTCCAATCTAGGCGTGATCCCAAGACCAGGTGCCGTCGGAGCTCTCACACGGCCAACATGGGCTTCAAAGTCTCCATCCGCCGTCTTCACAGTCACCATCTCCGTTGACCCCAAGATACATCGCAAGTTGCGCTCCGGCACGGTTTGCGCCAGATGCACGATGGCAGCAAAGGAGATGTCTGAGCCGGTCGTATCCTGTATGCTCATGGTGTAACCAGCAGCAACGCAGATGTCCCGTTGGCGGCGACCTCGGGTGAGCCCTCCATTCTTGGACACCTTGAAGTTAATGCCCTCCGCAGCATCATCTGCGATTAGTTGAATGACTGACGTTTCATCGGTCCCCAACTCATCGATGATGATGGGTATGTTAGTCCGCCGCCTGAGGGCGAGAGACTCGCGCATCGTGGCGCACGGCGCTTCCAGGACGAAGTCTAGACCATCAGGAAGCAGCCTAATCATCCGGAGGGCAACTTCAACAGTCAATCCGCCATTCGCGTCAACGAGGAAGAACTCGCCAGCTTGTCTGTCCGCAAGCGAGGCGGCAATGCGTGCGGCATCGGTAGCTGGGTCGTCTCCCGATATCTTAACGGAATGCCCCAGATAACCCTTCTTCCTAAACTCATCAACCTTTGCCCGCATCTCTTCCGGAGCTAAGACGCCAATGGACGATATAAGGGGCAATCCGACGTCCGTACTACCTCCCAGGAGCTCGCAGACGGGCAGACCGACCGACTTGCCAAAAATATCCCAGCAAGCCACATCAATTGGCGTTTTTGCGTGTAAGTGGCCCACGAGCGCCTCATCCATGACATCGTTGATGCGATCGACCTGGCGCGGATCCATGCCGATGAGCTTGGGCGCGATCTCCGCGATGCCGGCTCTGACGCCGAGGGCGTGGGCAGCGACGTAGGTTGAACCGAAGGGTGTGCTCTCACCCCAGCCTTCGAGACCGGTGTTTGTGGTCACACGGACGATGGTTGCGTCGAAGCTTGGGTATTCGCGACCGCGTGATAGGTGATAAACACCTCCTGAGTAAGGGAGTGTGACTTGAAAGACGTCAATCTTTGAGATTTTGAGATCGGACATGGTGAATGGAGAGTGAGATGGGCTTCAAAACTGTAAACCAATGTATTGTCAATGGTCGAGCTTTTCAATATTTAGGAGTTGACCGCCTAGTACTTGATGCCCTGAACATTATATAATTGGCGACTCATAAATCTTTAGGCCCTTATCAACACATCGTTACATCCCGACTTCAGGCCTGTCTCGGTTCTCATGAGAATATATTGGCTTGCATGAGCCCAGATCATGGGTCGTGCTAACTGGCGGGTGGCGTGCTCTCATTTTCATTTCCCCAACAGGCAACTACGAGCCAGGAGATGTAGACATTAATCGGTCCACCTGAGCAGGTGTCTTGCATAGAGATAAGCGTCTGGTCTCGAGGTCGCATCAAGACTCGGCCGATTTTGGCAAAGTCAATGAGAGCCAGAAAGAGAAAGAACTCTTTTTCCAGTCAGAAAGGCTCCAACGTATGCAGTAAAGGAGCATTTTGGGTGACTGGGTCTTTCCGCTGTGCTCCAAAGGCCGCCGCAGACCGGACCCCGGGTTATTGATTCATCAGCAATGACATTTCTAAGCCGTAGGTTAATCCCTGAATGAAAACACCAGCCATTTCCTGGAGGCAGCCATGTATGTTGATCAAAGGAGCCAGTCATCGCCTTGGGCGCTTTCCCATCTGCCAAGCCTTTGATGACAGTTTTGTCGATCCACGCCCTTCATCCTCCTCATTATGTCATGTGATGAGTACTAGGGACGACTCTTGGTTACATTCCTTGTCAATAATCATGACTCCAACGTCATTCACAAAGACGAAGATGCATGGCGATGTCCAGTAACTTTTCATGGTACCATGGAGCATTGCCCGATCAGGAAACGATACCTAACCCGGAATCCCGACCGGCGCCGGTCCTTCGGGAGGTACCCCGCATCTCGCTACTGAGCGGACAAGGCCGACGTCACCCACTCCCGATCCCTGTTGTCGCACTTCATGTAAGTCTGCCAATTCCGTGAAGGGCGCGTCTACCTTCTCTGTACGTCCGAGATGTATAAAAGTCAGGAAACCATTTCCCTTCATAATACCTACCTCGCCTCATGATCGTTTTGTAACTTGTTTCAACATCCGCCATCTAGATACCCGACTTCGCGTCTTCACATCGGGTCAATCTCCCGATCCCTGTTAGCACCAAAGATTCCCACAACCCACCGCAACCCATCTCAACCATGGCCGAAAACCTCCCAACTCACCGTCGTACATGGCGTCGCACCGACGACTACACCCCAGGCACCCCCAAAGTAACCCTAGTCACAGAAGCCCTCCCCCTCCCGCTCGCCCCAACACAAGTCCTCATCAAGGTCCATGCCGTCGCCTTGAATTATCGCGACGCCAACATCGCCAACGGCGGCAACCCATGGCCTGTCATCCCGCATGGCATCCTCGGCAACGACGCAGCGGGCGAGATCATCGCGGCTGGTAACAAGGTCAAGAACCTCCGCGTCGGCGACCGCGGGAGCCCCGTTACCGACACCAAGTTCGTCACGGGCCGCGAGACGGGGCGATCATGGCTTGCTGCTAATGAGGACGGTGTGCTGGCGGATTACCTGGTGTTTGAGGAGCATCTTATTGCTAAGGTCCCGGAGCATCTGGATTGGGTGAATTGTGCGATTTTGCCTTGTGCAGGGGCGACGGCATGGTCTGCGATTAAGGGGCTTACAATTGGGCAAAGCGTCTTTATCCAAGGTAAGTTGAGGTGGTTTCTTGATGATCTTGAGCTCACCCATGATAGGAACTGGCGGGGTCGCCATGTTTGCTCTCAAACTTGCCCAAGCCGCTGGCCTAAAAGTCATTTTAAGCTCGTCCAGCGACGACAAGATCAAGAAGATCCAGGAGTCTTTCCCATCTGCACCCATTTATGGCGTTAATTACAAAACGCATCCGAACTGGGAAGAGGAAGTCCTGAAGCTCACGGACGGTGTCGGAGTTGACCTGACAGTCGACAACGGAGGCTCCACCTCCCTCGTGAAGAGCGTTCTGTGCACTCGTCGTGGTGGTATTGTCAGCCAGGTTGGGTACCTGGGAGGCCAAGACCCGTCTCAATTGAAGGAGTTTGTTTCAACCATCATCGATCGTCGGACAATCGTCAGGTGAGTCTAAAGAACCAGAGGAGCTTACAAAGCTAGATCACACTGCGAATTTATGCTGACATATTTGATAGAGGCATCAATGCGGGATCGAGACTTGACATGGAGGACATGGCTGCTGCTATATCAGCGACAGGTCTCAAGTTCGACGACATCATCGATACTGTGTATGACTTTGAGCAGGCTGAGGAAGCGCTTCAGTACATCTGGGAAGGCAAGCAGGTTGGGAAACTGGTGTTGAGGATATAGCTCCGGAAGTGACTGTAGGAATAACGATGTTACATACGGGTCGCTTAAGTCCTCTAAACTCTTGACTGTACGTTGATATGTGACAAACTCTTCTAAGCTTAAGGCAGTATCGATTATTCTTCCCAACTTTGGACCCCAACGGAAAGGTCCCTCCTTTACGTGTCTAATCTAGCCCCTGAACGAGGCATTTCTTCTTATATCATACAAATTCTTCGTCCTTCTGTGCCTGGGTAGAAATAGTGAGGAGTATCAACAACATGAAGGTATAAGTACTTCGAGCATGTGCGTCGGCACTGGCTAGGTTGACAGAGGGGGAGACGCGACCAGTGTTGGTGTCAAACACATTTCTGAGCATGATCAAACTAATTTTGAAATGGCGCTGCCCTGACCACTCGCCACAACGTTGATGCAAGCCCTTCCACAGAACTGTTCGTCCAAGTGGAGGCTTGGCCCGTTTTTAGCCTGTGACCCCTCACATACCTCCCCGTCATTCCACAGCATTCAGATGATTGCTCAAGAATAAGGCACAATCAGATAATGGACCCGGTCGACAAATCCCTTGAGAGATCAGTTTCGACCGTAACTTTAGATGTAGTCGAATACTTCAGCTTCTAGACGAGATTCTGCTTGAGATAATGAAAATATGATCATTGGGCAATAGCTGAAATCCTCGTTGCTTCTATGACTAATAGCTACTCACCTAAACACCTATAAGCTAAGGAAGACTACAGGTTCAATTGCGGTGATACTGGTGATCTCTTGGACCCTGTTAACCTCTTTAACGTCTATTGTGACCTTGTCGTTAAGTTAGGTATAACTGCCCAGGAGGTTGATATCTGGATGAAGGACAACAGGCTGTACGACCGCATTGGCGCCAACATGCGAAAAAAATCACTGGCGTTCAGTCCTCAACTTACTGAGTGGTTCGCGAGGAAGAAAGTCATCTTCGACAGCACGACCGGCGGCTGAGCTTGAAGTTCGAGAAGCTTCAAGCTAAGGAGCCGAGCCACTTCAATTACGTGCAGAATCACCCGTTTCAAGCAAGAGATGTACCGTTGAAAATCATGCGGGAGGTAAGTTCTGTCCATGACGTCTTATTTTCGCATTTCGGAACTTGCCTTGTGATGCTAACTGTACATTCCACAGAAGTTCATGAGCGCAACAAACGGTCCTTCTCTCCATACCATAGTGCTGACGTTCATTCTTACGATTCGGTGGCCATGGCATCGTCTAGCACGGCGTGATGCCACGGATCTGGCAGATCTGGGCGCAGTTGGTGGTTTCTTCGTAAGGCCCGATGCATTGGCATCTGCCCGAGGGGTTGAGAGTGCAACAGCAGTCCTATGAACGCAATGTGAGCCCCGGCTTCACGCTTCGTCTCAGCCGTTGTTTCTGACAGGTCGGCAGCAATCACATTATTTGGTGCAAGTGGTACTGCCACGGATAGAGCAGATCTGAGCGCAGTTGATGGTTTCTTCGTAAGGACCAATGCAGTTGCATGCGCCCGTGTTGACGATGGTGCAACAGCAGTCCTACGAACGCGACGTAAGCCCCAAACGGCCGCTATAGACCCCAAACATGGAGTTTTGGTGGCGACGAGAATGGAATGAAGCCCAAATATTGGCTCAAGTTGAGATACCTTGGCGGCGACGCTGGTGGCCAAGGTAATGGCTGCGACGATGATAGAGAAAAGCTTCATTGTCTCGAAGAGATGAGAAAGTGATAGTCGTTGGTGGTTATGAGGAAGGTTGATAGATTGGAAGTGTTGCACCGGAGACAGTATACATGAAGGTAGGATGAACGTGAATATTAATACAAGTCAGTAGACAAGCTAACACAACCTGACTCATAAATCGCCATGAAGTGGAGGTTGGCGGAGCATAATAGATTACTATGCTATCTGCTCGGCAGTCTGAACCGACCAGCAATGTGCATTAGACGTTTTATACTTATCCCATTAGTTAGGTAGTTTATTATCTCCTTCAGATACATCTTAGAACGATGCAAAGCTATTATGGGTTTCCATGCTTCACCTATGTCTGATTGAAAAATGAGATGGTACTCGTCTCTGATTTTGAGTTGGCCTCTGTGTCTTTTTGGGCTCGGCAGTTGAAGTAAACTATCAGGCTGAAGTCCCCTCATCCTTTCAGTGACCTCAGCCCATCAAGATGCAAGAGTAAAATTGGGATGAGACTACCCTAGTCGGAATCGCCGAAAGTCAAAGTCATCATAAGTTGAGTGACACAGGAAGTCGAATGGTTGATTTTCACAGGTGCTGATGGTGATCCTAGATTTATCTAGGGCCCAGGGATCTAATGTCATGGCTAATATCTATGATCTTATTTCGGAAGGCTGATCAGTAGAGAAACCGCAGGCCATGTTCTCCTTCTCTATGATCTCATCTTCTAGCGTACTAATGTGTCCTGGTACTACAAACCCCGTAGCCCATGTTAATCTTGATCTGAGACGAAGTCTCACTTTGAAGATGAACACGGCCTGGCCAAAGTTACCGCTTTCTATGCGGATGCATCCGCAAGTGCTGAAATTTCCACCTGCCACTGCGGGTTCAAGAGACCCCGGCACGGGCTAGCCTGGATCTATTTTAAAGTTCAGTCAGCGGCTGTGTAGATAACAGCCGGCTAGAATTTCTCCCTGACCGGGGAAGCCATCCTTCAGAATGTGTTCATCACATGACTGAACGCCGTACCATGCGTACGTTCTTCAACTCTGATCTGTTCCTCCAGATCGTGGCCACCACCGAGACAGAGCTCTCGTTCGTGGCGACAGACGGCCTTTTTTCGTGCAACATAATCGAGTTCCTCAATTGTTTGTCATACTTCTGCGATCTTATCGACTTCACTGAACAGGCTGTTTGTTGCAAACGAACGAGAGGCCTCAACACTAACCTCATCAGAGCATGAGAAAAATCAGCTGGCACCAAACCGGCTATGTTCTTGGAATTACGGCCCACTCACTGCTGCGAAGGGTAAGTTTACCGACGGGTAGCTCCGCAAAGGGAAAGCTACCGATGGGCGGTTCCGCGTGGGGCTTGCAGATCAAATATGGAGTATCCCAAAACAAAGGACACCGGAAACTTCAATGAGGGCCATCTTTATGTCATTCCATTATGTCATTCCAAATATCATTATGACCGGCTCACGTCGCCAAACATGACTATTTTCGAGCTTTGCCACAAAACAGGCGTACCCCTTTATGAACACGCGCTTCCTACACACGAGCAAGCAATTTTCAGCTGTCATGAAGACTCCGAAGTCAAACCAGTGGCATATTCTCCAGACCTCAAGCATTTATCGTATGCTTCCTTGAGAGACATATACACCTCTCCACAACTCTTACGTCGTATAAGGTATTCATCGCTGGATTCAACCACTAGCATGTCGCGAATGAGGTTGAGAACATCTTTGAAATATTGCGAGCAATTTCGACGCGATGCAAGAAAGTCAATGTGCTGCATAGAGTCATGATTAGCAAAGGAATGTCCGAGTTGTTGCAGAGCCTGTGTTGACGTGCTTTGAGAAAACCAGGGGAAACACTTACCCTGGATACTGCAGGCTTCAACTGAGCGCCTTCATGCTCTTCCAACTGCACGCATTCGAAGAAGGTGTCCGAATTCATGCGAAGCCGCGAGTCGTATGACAATCGCGAGGTTTTGAACTTTTGCAGATCGTCGGCTCCACCAAGCATCCACGTCACGAACTCAAGGTATATGCAACCTAGAGACCATATGTCGCTAGATTGGCGGATTGTTCGCGGAACTATTTCGCCCTCTGGTGGACGATAAGTAAGAGTATCAACACCTTTGCTCTGACGATACGTTTTGCTGTCTTTTGAATGAAGTTCAGCTTGCCCAAAGTCCGTGATCTTGAGGACACCACCCCCGCAGCCATCCCTATCTTTCCCTGGAAACCAGAGCATGTTCTCTGGTTTGAGGTCGCCATGACGTCCGTAGCGTGTTTCTGAATTTTCTCTGCTAAGTTGCGCCCGCTTTCCGCTCGGCTGGGCTGAGTGATCGTCCTGGAAACGAGCACGTTTCCTCTTCGAGGATGATGTAGAAAGCTGGCTGTTTATTATATCCTCATCTTGGATGTTCTGATTCTGAGCTGATTCTTCGTCATCGGAGGTTTTGGGTATGGTCAAGTGTCTATGGAATCGAAGTAGCCCGCTAGCCAAGCCAGCCAGCTGCTTCGCAACCCAAAGAACGGTTCGTTTGTCGAATGTTGGGTTTGGGCGGATGAATTTCCAGTATTGGAATAAGTCTCCGTCAGCCCGGTGAAAAATGAGGTGAAATTTGCCAAACTGCTCATAGGTTGCCAGAACTGACACCACATGAGGGTGAGCTCCATCACCTGTGAACTTCTTCAGCATGTTCACTTCTTTTTTGAACTTTTCCAGTGTATCGGGATCCTCATCCCGTAATTGTTTGACTGCGAATCCGCGCTCAGGGTTAAGGTCGAACCCGTGAAACTCATGATGCTCCGGGTGAATTCGCACCATGTAAACTTGGGAAAAGCCACTTGTAATCTTGTCTTGTTGCAGAGCGTCTTGAGCAATACTGCCGCATGTGTCTGCTGATTGAGGGTGCTCCTCTTCAACAAACGGAAGACGGTGATGATCCTTGAGAGTATAGTGGTTGACTTTGTTGTAAGCACTGCGGTAAAAGAAAGGCGCCAGCATCATCCATTGATACTCGCAAAACTGCCTCCGACTCTCATCACTCCATTCTTCGGTGCATGCCAACGGCTGGCCCCGGGGTTCTCCGGCAGAATCTGTTCGGTACAAGGCGTTCTCACCTTTGAACTCCAGGTCCTCACGGTCCACAAGAGGAAGGTCAAGGTCACTGACGCAGTCTCTCATAAACAGGTGTATGCTCTGCGACTGCCCCAGGAAGACAAGAATCGCAAAGACTTGGCGGTACGATCGCCTTTTCTTCTTGCCCCCTGGAAGCTCAACTATTTCGTCCGTGCAAACAGCTTCTGCAA